TGACACTGATTAACGATTCGCAGGGCTATATCTCACGGTGCCTACTGATACTGGATAAGTAGTAATGAGCTTTCGGAATTTCCGCCCTTACATTTCCACCCATCTAATACCTGGCTGGTCATCCATCAAGGTAATGGTATTCTTGTACTAAAGCTGATAACTGGAACCGATGCAGAACATTGAGATAGGTCAGATAAATCCTAGGAACCAATAACTACCTTAGTGTTTGGGTCATGAAGGAAAGTTCGTGCTACCTGGAACAATTAACGGTAGTATGGGAATGGAATGGATGATCGGTTTCAAGTTCATGCCTAGTGCTGGAATGAACCAAAGGGTTGGCTGGTAAAAGCCGATTAGAGTGAATGTGCAGAAACTTGCACCCAAAGGCCAAGTAACATACATTTCTGCCTGATGAAACCTGAGAAACGAGGCCTTTAGAAAACAGAAGGGTTCCAATGTCGTGGAATATATGTAGCTTGGGTGCATTGATTGGGTGTTGGTGTGTTCGCCGAGCTTGGCAGTTCGACTGCAAACATTGCATCACCAGTCAGGGTGACGCCGTCACTATGGGGTTAAGTTGGTTTGCAAATTTATTCGATTTTTGGAGAAGGCGAGAGAAGGACCCATGGCTGGGAATCCCGTTGTGAGAATGATTAAATTTGGTGAAATGCCCATAAAACTACATCTAGGTATCTAAGAGACATGAGAAAGGAGTCGCACAGATGACGGAGAACCAGCGGAGACTGAGCAAGCAAGAGTCAACCCGAACAAGCGAAAATTATGCGAAACCTAGAAAGTACTACAGGGTCCTTAACTTCTAGGAAAAAGCAATAGAGTAGTTCACTGTGGTACCTGATGGAGGAGGTTGAATCGAATTATAAGTACAACCTCTTCTCAGCTCTGCCATGCGCTTGCCGACAACAAAGGATAAGGGGGAAATTCGCCATAGAAGTTGCAAATTTAAGGCCCATTATTTGGTACTTGTCAAACCAACCATGAAGAACAAATAGTCATTTGAAAAGTTGATCATCCCCTCTTATCTTCGTAGGACAGATTTCGACCGAAAATTGCTTCAGATATTTCTTCCGCGTTGGTTTCTACAGGGTTTCAGAATTTGACAAAAACTTCAAAAGACTTCTCAGATGTTTCTAAATTTGAGAAGCGGTGCTTCATGGCGGAGCAACTGTAAATGTTTAGTTTCGCTCACACAACACTCCATCTACTCTATTCACGAGCAAGTCCCAAAGATGGAGTGAATCCAGACGAAGATTGGGGACTGTATCTTCTTGAAACGGCTCCTGTTCGCTTTCGGTATACACAACTCACGTGCGCTCGAACCAAGCCTAACTGCGCGCAGTGATCGATAGTTTCCGACTGACATTCGAAAGTGTATATTAGCCTAACTGCGCAGTCATTCGGAGCAAGCCTGATGACCAAAACCATCCCGACTTTGATATGACCGAATAGTTTATCTATGATGTGGGTGTGAGTAGCGAATCTGGGTGAACCAAGTCACTGACACGCCATCACCCTATTTTAAATCCACATTTGACTATAGGATAGTCTAATTTTTTAATGTGGTGGAAGCAGCCCTAGTCGCCGAACGGCAAACTCAAGGCCTTTACGACCTGGATAGTGAAGCATTTACTGAAGGAATGTCCGAACACTTAGAAAACACTTTCCTTGCTGATTCACCTTGTCCGAAAGAAGAAATTGCCCGATCTCGAACTGTGGTCCGAATCAGACCAGTCTGAATACAGTTAACTGACACGGGAAACATTTGAAGCGTGTTGAAGCGTGGTTAGTCTCATCTTCAGACTCGCAGCTGACGCTCGTTATTCCATGCCTATAGGGCAACCTGCCGAGAATCGAAAGATGTGGCGGTGTAGCCACTTATTAGTTTGCTTGTTAGCCTCAGACAGGATTCGTTCAGATAATCCCAAACGGTACTGTCCGTCATTTGATTCACTTCACGTCTGTTTTACTGATCGTCTGCTGGGAAATAAATGCACCGAAAGGTATTCTATTATCACCTGTAGCGTCTGTTGGTCGTGAGGCACGCACCACTCATCCAACTCTACAATGGGAAAAACCCTTATTCACTGAATTCCTTTTTTACCCTCATCAGACATCAGCTGTCAACACACACAAAGGTTGTTTTCCTACCCTTCGTTACTAGGAGTCATATGAACTGAACTAAACCGCTTAATTCTGCAAAATCTAGCGAATGCCTTGCCTGCCAAGTTGGGCCCGAAATCAGCGCGAAAAGGTCAAGCAAGGATAAAGCTGTGAAAGGAACCATAACTTTGAAGACCATAAAAGAAAGAAGGCGATTTCAGTTCGGGGCCACGTGCAACTCGAGATGTGGATTTCACTTCTCACTGTCTAAACCTGTTTGCATGTTACACAATATAATCAACTTTGGACATCTAACCAAACCCAAGATCACTGAACAGCATCTCGACTTAATGCTAGAGTAGTATATGAGTTTGGTAGGGCGTGAGCCACGTCACTGGAGGGAGGACTGGACTAGCGTCAAAGTGAGTGAGAGTGTACATAAGCTAAATGATTGACTCCCGTTGATCGGTGACGGCACTTTTCTCGGGAAGCCTTCACGGCAAACTGGGCACTAACTAATGAATCTAGCGGTGATCAGATACTCTATATTCGCCTCAACAGCGATATCTGGAGGCTGAATGGATTTCGGAATGTGATAAGAATTTTTCTCCCAAGTGATGAGCCCGTCAGAGCTAATAAACCTAGACTGTCCTCACGGACTTTGACCCGCGGATTTATAGACACTGCATTCCTTAATATCTCCCAACCGTAAAACTGACATTTACTCACTGAGTGCTTCATCTGTGTAGCTGGGTTCATGGATGCTCAAGGTACAGAAGTACTTGGAATTGTGGTAGGAAAGACATGAGTTTGGTTAACCAAAGTGTTAAATGCCATACGGTCAGACACAGTTAAAAAAGATGTAAGCACTTGAAGCTGGCCAGTCGACCGGATTGCTTGGAAGAGTATAAGGGGACGGTCTACCGTAGGACAAAACCTGCGGTTAAGCTGTGGATGAGCGAGAAGGCCTTAACGAGAGCAGGTGAGGCGGTCATAGCTGAACAGTAGACAACGTTGGATCAAAATGGGTGAGCCTTGTAGAAAGCTTGTGAGGAAAAACGAGGGAGACACTGGTTACAGTGTATTGCCAAAAAAGTGGCTGAACTATTTATGTGTAACTCAGACACTGTGAGCTTAAAATTGTCATACAGCTTGGTCAGTAGACAAATGCTAAAATTAGGTCTCGAAACTGAGCCATTCAGTTTCTTCCGAATGAAAAAGTGTTGGATAGTTAGAAGATGCCATTCAATGTCATTCGAACATTAATTTGGGTGACTAAATAGACCAAGAGGACGCTTTTAGTCCTCAAAGTTGAAACTGCATTTAACTTGAGCCAACACTGCTTATAAGGTTGCTGAAAACACTTCGACACTCCACAACCAGTCTCGCCCTTTTTGGGATTCATCAAGTAGGTGCACTGTCCGAGTTTCCGTCACCCTTTTGCTTTACTTGAATACCAAGATTTGCACATCTGGTGAAGTGAATTAGGTTGAAGAGTTACTTGGTGTTACCGGATGGCTCAGATGAACACAAACTGCATTGTTCATGTACGATTTCCTTTAACTAAAGTAGGTCATAATTTAGCCAAGGAACGTTGAATAGAGGCATGAAATGACTCGTTGATAATGAATTTACTGCTTGTAATAACCGTGTCTATCTTTTTCTCCCATTAGTTTGCAACCGAAAAGCAGGTGTAATTGCAAAACAATAAATTTTGATGACGGCCTGTTCTTTTACGGGCCTTGTCAAGAAAATTAATGGTCGGTATCCCATGCACGGTGTGTCGTCATTCTGAAATGAGCTAACATTCTCAAGTGTGTTGGCGCAGCGCTTTTGTCGATGAAGCTATGGAGGAATTGAACTCAAATATCAGACCGAGAGAAGCAGAAGATCACTGATTGGTTTGTTCTTTCCAAGCTTTCTGAGACAGGGCTGCGATGCCGCCGCTCCTGTCCTCTCATGTGTAGAGGCTCGAGGGTGGGTAGTGACCGACCCCTTTGATTGGTCTGTACCCTCAGATTAAGCTAACCAATCATCGGTCTTAGAGGGGACTGTGGGAAAGTAAGACTCACACACCGCAATCATGCATCCAGGGCAAAGTAGCGCGAATGATGTCAGCGCATGGGACTTTGGCTTAAACTAGTTTGCTTTTTCTTAGTTTATTGCTTAGCTACTCATGAGTAGCCAACCCACTCGTCATATATTGATAGATGGCACCTGTGCAACACTCGTTTCCAGACTACCTTCAGTTGCTGCGACGGTTTCTTCCCATTGTAAAAAAGCCGAAATAAACGCAGGTTAGACCGAAAGATCAACTGCCTCTGTTCGTATAAGGATGGGGGAGTGAAGTGGCCTCTGATGTTGTGTCAACAGATACTAAGAATCGGTGATCAGTAGACGAGCGCTTCACAATGATTCTCATACCGTGCGTCAAAAGTATCAGCTATAACATTCCGTTTCACTTAGAGTTGTGCCACGTATGTCGCATGCCGCCACAACAACTCCTTTGTGGAGCGGAGATCGGAGTTATTTTTCTATTGAAACTCTCCAAATACTAATTGTCCATCGAAGTTAATGTCTCAAACAAAGCTCGGTGGATTCCAGTCCTTGTTATACTGCATCAACTACAGCCCGAAACGCGGAAACAACTGAGTTTCCTTTCGCCACCAAACGAAAAAAAACGAAGTGCAGTTCCACATAGTTTAGGTCACCTCTCCATTCAGCTGAATGAAGATGTCAGTCGATCGCTCAGGTATGCCCGTAAGCTATCTGCCTTTCTTCCACCAACATCAAACCCCTCATATGCCTCCAATGGATTGTAAAAAGTTGGCAAAAAATTAGCCGTAAGTTATTTTAGCCGTGGACCATTTATTAGACTCTAGACTACTGCCACTGTTATTGTTGTTGATGACGATGATAATGATGATGATGACGATGATGATGATGATGATGACGATGATGATGATGATGATGACGATGATGATGATGATGATGACGATGATGATGATGATGATGACGATGATGATGATGATGATGACGATGATGATGATGATGATGACGATGATGATGATGATGATGACGATGATGATGATGATGATGACGATGATGATGATGATGATGACGATGATGATGATGATGATGACGATGATGATGATGATGATGACGATGATGATGATGATGATGACGATGATGATGATGATGATGACGATGATGATGATGATGATGACGATGATGATGATGATGATGACGATGATGATGATGATGATGACGATGATGATGATGATGATGACGATGATGATGATGATGATGACGATGATGATGATGATGATGACGATGATGATGATGATGGCAATGAAGATAGTGATGAGGACGATCACGGGGAGGGAAACGAGGATGAATAATCGAGTATAATGCAGATGCTCGGGTTGTCAAATGTCACAAACTTCACGAATTTAACGCAAATGAATACGATTACAAATTCCTTCAAAACAAGTGAAATAAAAATCACCTATGTTCCATACTTAAAAATGAAGTGCCCTGGCTGGGACTCTCGACCCATTTTGTTCCATCAACCTTAATATATTTGCAAGCACTTGTGAAAATGAACCGGTGATTTTCACCAAAACTTCCTGAAAGATAGTTTGTGTGTGTGTGCTTTCTAAACTGCGGTTTGTGTAAAATTCCACACACGTAAAATCGGTCCGCTCTCTCTTAATAACCGCCCCCTCTTCCAGGTGTAAAGTAACCCGACAGGTGCTTGTCACACCAATGCCCAGAGATGTCACAAATATTGTAAACGAGTGGACTATCCCTTCCTAAGTGTGCCACCCTGATTGTGTGCTGGAAATGTTTTCCTTCCTCTACTGCTTTCTGTCCACCGCCAAACATACCAGTTGCGGAACAAGTGATGGTTTGGAACTGACAGTAGGCGGGAGAACTGCACTAGCAGTTGCAAGTACGTGGAACAGGAAGATTGGGACAATTGATGGAAGATTTTGCTCAGCAGTAACAAAATCGGTTGACAGCTGTCCGACTGCGATTCTGATTTTCGCTAGATTTTGACAACCTGATGTCAAAATAAAGATGATTTTGTTTGTTGTTATGGTATCGAGCACCGACACGCAATTGTGTGTGGATAACGTCGCGTTTGCCGTTCAATGGTCCCGTCCACCGACCTCCACATAGTACACACCCTGCCGTGCTGGATATACAAGAGGAGGACAGAAAAAGTCACCTGAGGTTTGACAAACGTATCAGTTAGAAGAGGGATGTGCTTTCAAACTATTTGTACGAAACCAATATACCAGGCTACGGGGTATTTTAAGGCGTGTTTGTGCGGATCTGTCCACTGGGAGAGCGAATAGTTGAACTCAACTTTCAGAAAGGTTTGAAGGAGGATCGAAAGAAGTGATAACATCTCGATCGTTTAGTAAGTATTTATACACAAAGTTAAGAAGAAGGAGTTACAGAAGACCTTATGTGACTGAGTTCACCCGTATACACTGAATACTGGGGGTTATGGATCCAGTGGACTGTATTCTTGGGAAACCACAAACGTAGATAACCGCTTACCGATGTTTACATTTCGATGTTGTGTTTGTACAACTTTGGAAGGAGTTCTCGAACCCCCACTTGCTCAATCTTTAATGGAGGTTTCGTCCCGCAAGTGAAGACGATCCATGCTGAAAAGGCAGAAGCACTGTATGGCTCTTTCATGCCTACCGAGAATCATCAGCGATGCGCATCCCGTGAAACCCAAAGGGGTCTCGAACCCGCTACCCCCCGGGACACAGTTTGATCGCTTACCCATTCAGCCGCGCGTGGCCGGATAAGTGCTCAAACTGTTTGCCAGGAGGTCGGGGTTCGAAACTCACTTTCGTGAGATGTGCACTACCGATGATTCTCAATAAGGATGAAACAGCTACGCAGTGCTTCTAGACTTTCCAGAATAGATTGGCTTCACTTACCGAGCGAAATTTTCATTAAATTTTCCAAGCTTCCTCAAACTGTCAAAGTTCTTGACCTATCCAAAACAAGCCGCAATTACTTGTTAACTCATAATAGGTGATGGAACAAGCCATTGTCCAAGCTTGCAAAAGCTTAAATCCTCCTAAGGATTGCAGAGACTTCTAGTGGTAATCTGTCGGTAGCATCAACATCTGGCTGGTTTAGGTCACATTTTGTTCATTAATTTGCTTCCGTTTGTGAATTCAAAGTACAACCTCACGGATAATGGAGCAATCCAGAGTTAAGCTTGCTCTGTCGCTCAAGCTGTTGACTTGGACATCCCAAACAACTATTCAGCTATTCCTCTCCTACTCTATTTCAGTTTTCACTAAAGCAATCTGGATACCGGTCTACTATGGGAAACAAACACAGGGCTCGCCACTGGTGCTGACAGACGAACTGATCAAAATGTACGGAATTGTGGAAAACGCAGTCGCTTTTATTCGCTCACTTGATACAGAGAGCGTCCAGTGGGTGAGGGGTCGATTATCCAGACTCAAAAATGTAGTGCACACAGACCTCGCATTCCACATTATACCAATCGAGATCATTTCTTGTCTGTCCTTATTGGACGGTTACTGCATTCGTACCGAGACATTGCTGAAAAAGTTGTTTGTATCAAGCTTTCAAATGTCCTTTGAATCCATGTATGAACCGCATTTTTTTTGTCAAACTACATCCCAAAAACAATGGGTACAATCGTTTCCAAGGCTGCCGTAAAAGTCCAGTTGTAGCAAAGTGGAATGGCATAGATGTTCATCATTTTGTTTGGCCTAGCCTTCTATCAGCTTTCAAAGTGCTCTTTCATAGTTATGAGTATATCCTATGACAGTCTGCCTTGCAGCGAGTCGAATCCTACAAAAGCTATCCTTCCTATCAGACATTTATAAATTGCTTCAGTTTTGCTACACTGACGCGCCAAAATGAGCAGTGAGATTGGCTTTCAAATCAGCACTTTAGGGGGGAGACATTTTTTCATGTTCTTATTGATGGAACAGCATATGTACACAATTCTAAAGATGGGGGCTGATAGCCAACCTGAAGACGCTGGGTGTTAAACCCGCACTGTGGAAATGGATGTTCGCGATATGAGCCACTGTGTTACTTGTTTGCTACTTGCCGGACTGTTGCCACAATACAAGCTGTCATTAGGCGAACCAATTTCAAGTTCAAGAGCTTCTTTGATGTCAGATGGTATGAAGAAATCTGAAGTGTATTTGCTCGAATACTCAACTTTCATTCAACACGTTAGCTAATTCTGGTCACTCCCTTGGTTTTATATTCAGCCACCATACGATAAAAGTTAACAGGGATTCAAGGACTAGAACTAGCTGATACATCACAAGAAGAGTGAAACCGTTTGATGGCTGACCCGAGTTCTCCTCATCCTTATGATTAGCGTTACAATACCACTTCGTTTTACCCCGAGGATTCTGTGTTCAACACGCAACAATGGGCAGGTCGTGTGGCTAGTCAGAGCACAAGTGCGACGCAGACGAAAGTGATTCGGAGACTACGATAGGTGGTGGGAAAATGTCGAGTTTTCAGGATAACGTTTTATCCTTTAAAAGTAAATTGTATGCCAGAAAGTACTGTTTTGTCCTTATTAACTGTCTGGAATCAAGCTGTACGATTATGGACATGATGAAATTTTGAATTTATACGATATAGCACCATTAATTTCGAATGTTCCAGCTGTATTCATAAGGTGTTGGCATCGACCATATCCTTGACTCAAATGTGCCCGTTATGTCAAGCTACCTGGGTCATTTCCTAAACACACAAAAACTCCGCTGCTTCGAACGGAGGATTTTTACTATCGATCGCTGTTACACTTCTAGTGGGGCACATTCGGCACCCCGTTTCACCGCAGAGCAAGGAGTAACGACAAAGCCCCTCATCTTCTCCATGTTGAATTAATTCATAGACAAGAGGGGACGCTTCAGTGGCGGGTCTACACGAAATCTACATGGTCTGCTCATATTTCTGCCGATTTATGGACACTAATTGAAGCCGGATTCTCAACAAGTGTCTGGTAAATAGTGCTTGTATTGTGAGCATAGATGATAAACTAGATGGCTATCTGGTATGGATATCACTAACCTCGATGGACAAGTGACGGTAGAAATTTTAGGTCGCCCACTATCTATCTATCTATCTATCTATCTATCAATCTATCTATCTATCTATCTATCTATCTATCTATCTNTTTTTCACTCACCGGAATTCCTCTTGTGATCTCTTTTAGTTCACCTGTAAGGCAAAAGGTAGCAAGCGCGATTCTGTTACCTCCCGTGTTCTCCTCAACGCTTCATCCTCATACTTAAATTCAGTGTCTGTTTATGTTGCAGGACAACTCCTGCTACACAACCTTCATCCTGCCGAGTAAATTTCTGCGAAAGCAGAAAGTTATCTGACGAGCAAATTCTGCTTTCCCTTCCATTTTTCAGTGTCTTATTTTAACAATGAGCCTCTGTCTGCTCATAATTTTGCTCAAATATCGTCAGTCACGCTTCATGTCCTTCTTATCACATCTCTATAAGAGAGCATTTTACCTGTATTGCCGTACTTTCTTGTGCAAAATTTGACTTACTCAGATTTTAACAGGATATCTTAATAAAATCGAGACCCATTTCCAGATATAGTCTTGCATTTGCTCACCATTTCCCTTTTCCCTAACTCGCGATGTTTATCTATCTATCTATCTATCTATCTATTTATCTATCTATTCGGAAGCACTTATAAAACACCCCAGCGGAAACCAATGGCTTCAATCTGATGAGCGTTCATTGATGCTGGCCCAAGTATCCATATCAAAGTTCCTTTAGACCACATCAAAGAAGCCTGGTGGTAACGTAATAGTACAATAGTACAATGGTACAATTATTTTGTGGATGTCCCGTAATCTATATCGGCCTGAACTTTCCACACATCCCAAGTCATCACGGTCTGAAAGCAAACAAGCGCGAAATGCGACCAGCCAATTACAGCTAACAATCACCGGATCATCCCGACCACATCATACAGAGGGATGCATCGGTTGCCGTGAACGTAAATTTCATAGACCCCGCAACCACGTACACCTAACTATCCAAGGTGGTTGGTTAGAAGACAAACGGAGTGGTAACAATCACAAGTGATCTTTAAACAAAACCAATCGACCTTGCACCATTCTCGTGGACCGACCAATCAAGGCTCCTAGCTGAACTCAGTTGGATGATTTAAGTATCGTACCCTTTAACTATTCATCTACTTTTATTCCTCCTGTAATTGTATTTGCCAGCAGCGACTTTATCGAAAACAATTGTTTTTCTTTTCAGTACCAGTTATCACGTGGAAATATGGGCGCATTCAACAGCAAGCATGGGGCTATTTCTGTTTGGAAAAACTATAC